AACATGCTTCTTCCCATTTTTCAATTGACACATGAATAAAAAGAAATTCACTCATGAAAATGGCACACCAACTGTTTGTAGAAATGCTTAGCCTAGTATGCGTGTGACTTGTTACTTTTTACAACCTTGTGCCTTATCCTTCTAAGCTACATATCTCACAAATGCTTTATTTTTGGGACTTGAACACATATTGACAATCTTGTAGGGTTTTCCTCAAGCTTTCCAAGCATATAAGATTTGCCTCCATTGGAAAAAAAATGAGAAATTTATGGATTTCCAAAGTTCAGTACTATGGAGACTTAAGGACTTAGAAATTTTCCTAAATGTCCAAATAACTTCTTGAACAAGTTATCTCCATTTTGATCTTTTCTCTTGATTTTGTGACACCAATGATCATGAAACATAAAAATAGAATACTTGAATTCATGGTTGACCAAAATTCCACTCGGTCAACTTTAACTTTGGTTGACTTTTGGTCAAAATGACTATTTTGCCCCTTTTGACCAATTGAACCTCTTTCACTCAAAATTGGCACCCAATATTTCAATCATAGGTGTTTATCAACATATAAAGAAGCATGGAATTAAGTTTTTCCCAAAAAGTCATAGATTTCCTAATTAAAATCAAAACCCTAATTTTAGCCCTTTGTGTTAGGAGATAGTGACCAATCTTCAGAGACCCTCATTCTTCTAGACAAATTGAGAGATTCTTTGAACCAAGATGCCTTATATGATGATGAGAAGGTGGTGCCTTACATACTTGATTCTTACAAGCCTCAAATTTTTCAACTGATCAAACCCTAATCTTGAGAGGTGAACAGTGGAAATGTGATTCTTCTCCAAACTTTGCAAACTTCCAGCTCCTAATGATCATATGGGACAAATGAGATGCCTTGTAATACAAGAAACCTTTGTAGCTTGAAATAGTTTTAGAAATTGAAGACATGAGATCTTTGTTTGCATTATTTTGACTAATCAAACATCTGTTATGGTTTGTAGAAGAATTTGGGAACCAAGATACCCTAATCCTTACCATGAAAATGTATGGATATGTATGATGCAGCATAAGCCATGTAACTAAAATGAAGAGGAAAAACTTTGGGGTGCAACATACACTCTCTTAGGAGATGTCTATCATTATATTCATTCCATAAGCTACAAGGGGAAAGGTGGAGTTGTTCATTGTTGTGCTTCATTGATGTATCATTGGTTTATAGGTCGCCTTCCTTGTCGTGGAGCTTATGTTGATACTCAATGTACTATGAAGTGGGCTCCAAGGCTGATGGGGATCACCTCCAAGGATATTGACTTGTATAGGATCGATTTGTCAAGGACCGAGAGTAAATAAGTGATCTTCCGTTGCGTAGAATTCTTTAATGTACCTATCATGGGTATAAGAAGTGGCATTAACTATAGTCCAACTCTTTCTCGAAGACAGTCGGGATATTCTCTGAGAGGACCACCTGAAAAGGAGTATGTGCAGGAATCCTTGTTCTATGATGTGCCTGACAGTACCAGATGGATGGATAGAGCTATCAAAGCTTGGAAAAGCATTCACTTTGAAGGAAGACAATATTTTAGTAAAAAAGATCCCACAACTTATGCACCTTATATTCAGTGGATTAAAGAAAGAAACAAAGATCATTGTTGGCCTTTTGCCATAGAAAAGCCTTTGTACCCTCAAGAGCTGGATCAACCTGATGATGTACCAAAGAGAGATTATGAGTTAGTGTTGGCCTGGGTATTAGGCCTTTTACCTCAATAGTAACACCCACCCAACATGGAGAACCAGAATCTAGGACAACAAATAATTAATAAGGAAAGTAGTAAATTGCAATGCAAACATATGCTCAGATAGACATGTACAAAATGAGTAAATTGAAAGCATAAAAATAAACACCCAAATAAAATAAAACAAGAGCTAGGATCGACTCCGAGATAGACCAGTAATAGGTCAATCTTTCCCCAATGAAGTCGCCAGCTGGAGCAACTGGCTAAACAAATCATCAAGATGAAATCAATGAAGTCGCCATCGAACATTTTTTATCCCACAAGAAGGGAAAGGTAAACATCGAGTAAACTTGAGAAGGGTGAAATCAAGGTTGAAAGACCAAGAGACCGGGTAAGGGAGTCTATTATGCAAGGGGAAGGTATTAGTACCCCACACGCCCGTAGTACTCTATGATATTCACTCTTATTATTCTAATCAAAGGGTGTGTTTAAAATCTAATGCTTAAGAGCTAAAAAGAAAATGCAAAGAGGGAATGCGTGAAAAAGAAAACAGAAAATAATGTAGAGAAAATAAAGTTGTGCTCGCTCGGGCCATACCCTAATGCCTACGTATCCTTTTTGAGGAATCAGAGTTACCGTAGTTCGGCTTAAAATTTTTTGGTGGTTTGTATTTTTTAATGAACAATATTAATTTCGCCTTCTGCCATAGCTCGACCTTCGGAGACTCACGCGTCAGCACAGAAGTGAGTTAACATGTTCTTTTGAAAGAGTTTGAAAGAAAATCTTGAAGGCGCAAAAAGTTTGTATTGGTTGATATCTTTTATCTTAAAGAAGGATTTGAAAGTTGTTAGATGTTTTATGCATGTTTTTCAAGAAAAAAAAGTTTTAGTCTTAATTCAAGGATGCCAAAGAAAGAAAAACATCTAAGGGAAACTAGATAGAATCTAATCCTTAATGTTGTCATACAACGATTGACCCTAAGGTTGAGTTTTAAAAGGAAAATCTCAACCCTATGTTAGCATGCATGGATATCTATCATAATGTCTAGCTCGAAAGCTACTCCAATCGAGCGATCCTAAGGGAAGCATACAAATTCATATTCTAAGGGAACATGGTATAGCAAACAAATAAACAAACAAGTGCTTTGGCAAAAGCACACAAACATGAGTAGCACATACTAACTCAAAGGGATGGGGGAAACAAGAGAAGTGTTTTAGCTAAGGGGAGCATATCACCCGAAGCAAACAAGCGGGAGACAGATGAAATAAAAAAGAAAAGAAATGATTTAGCTAAAGGGAGCGGATAACCGGAGCAAACAAGCGGGTAGTGAAGTATCAGCAATGGCCATTGTGAACTCCTTACGAAGTGTGGGGGTTGGTTATGAACCCTTCTCCACATGAACGACTCGATACATAAGATCTGCACGACTCTGAAGCATCAACGTGTAAAATGTGCTAAGGATGACACAGACTAGAAAGTACGAAGGTCGATTACAAACCCTCTCCACTCACCTCCTTTTGAGGACTTATCATATGTAGTATAATGTGGGCACAAATGTAAATACACGTGCAGAATACCTACTTCAAAGGTACGATTTTTAACAAACACAAATAACATACATAAAGAAATGCTTGCTATAGGACTTTAAATAGCGACTGCGAGTGCGCGCTCTTTATTTCCTACTTCTCATGATATCTAGAAAGCAGTAAAGTTCCTACTTCTCATGATATCTAGAAAGAAGTAAAGTGTGAAATGAGATAAACAAGAGAAAATACCAAACATATATCAATCCGTAGCAAAACGTATCAAAACAAAAAAACCGACGATCTTTGCGAAAGCTTCACCAATCAAAGAAAATAGTAAGAAATCAAATACTCAGAATAAGTGTTGAAGCATCATCGATGTGAAAATAAATCATAATCGAAATCTCGAGCATATCCGCATATCACTCAATAAACCTGCATAAGACTCAAATCTCAACAAGCAAAGGTGAATTACAAATCTCAAGTAATCGGATAATCGGAACTTATTTCTTAAAAAAAGTCTCCTAAAATCTAACATTTTTATTAACGTTTTAGTTTCATCAATATTTCTTATTAACATAAATATCATCTAACAGTTATGAGGAAAAAAAAGCTACATAGGGGGGGTGTCAGCCTGAAACAGGGGTTTCTGTAGAAATCTGGCACTAAGGCCCAATAAATAGAGTCCAATAAGAGGTTTTATGAATTAACTTCCAAAATGGTGACACGGGCCAGAAGGGAGCTATGGCGCTAGCAATGTCTAAGGCCCATGCGCAAATTATCCAGTCCACTAACACAGATCACCATCAGATTATTATCTCTTATTATTGAATTATTAGTAAAAACAATAAAAAAGAAGAAAAAAAATAGGAAACGAAGTCGTTTTAGATGAAGAAAACATTAACATTGAGACGGTTCAACTTCGCGATACATCTTCTCAAACGCCTTCTTCCTCAACTTTGCAAACAAAACGGCACTGGATTCTACCACTTCTCCTCCGTTATGGCTACATACCCCCTTCTGTCTCATCTCTCTCAACCTGCCTCAGCGGCAGCCTCTAATCACTCATAGCCACCTTCCTCCAAGCTTCTTCTCTGATTCGCAACCTAAGGATGTCATTTGCCTCCATTTCACCCCTTTGTATCTCGTCTCAGCGCTTCGTCTTCAACTCAGACTAACTCCTTAAATGAAAAGACACTGTAAAAGAGCAAGATACTTACCGATCGGAGCGACTCCGACGATTCTTCAAGCCGACGATGATGGTGAGAGAAATAGATAAAATCTCTTCAAAACTCAGGTTATTCTTCAAGCTCGTTCTCTTCTTCTTCTCTATGATTTGCTTCTACGAGTCTTCTTATTTTTGTATTTTTTGCGATCCTCTGAGATATTACTGTTGACGTGCGTGTGTTGTTGTTCTTGTGAATTTAGCGATGTGATGATGTTGAACGAAGGTGATGAATAGATGAAGCTTTAGATTCTATTGTGTTGAGATAAAAAAAGATCAGGATTATGCAGGTTACAGAGATTCTGCAAAATAAATCGTGATTTGCAGAGAGAGGACTGAACTTTCGGATTTTCTCGGTGGTGATTCTTCTGAGTTCTGAAGAATGGTGATGAAGATGATGGAAGAAGGAACAGAAAAAGGTTGTTGAAGATTTTGGTGATTTTTCTGCAGGATTCATGAATGATGAAGATGAAGATGATAGGAGAACAAAGAGTTCTTCCTGATTCTTCTGAAAATTGAAGAATGAAGATGAAAGAGGTTATGATTCTGTTATATCTCTCAAAGTTTGTTACATGTAAAATCATCTTGACCTTTGAATCTGAATTTTCTGTTAGAAAATGGATGGATAGGATTGCTTCTGATTTTCTATGATATTCCTTCCCCTCATTTTTTTGTTATACTGCACGGTTTCTACCTTTTGTTTTCTTCTATTGCCTTTTCTGTTATAATTCATTTTGTTTTCTGATATTTCCTGGATACTTGAACAGATGCAGGGCATTATGGTGAGATTTGTTTCTGTAGGTTTCCAGTTTGGTGCAGGCTTGGAACTGTTTTAACAGTTTGTTATTTTTGTTAGAAATTTCTTTTAAAATCTGTTAAAACAGTCGGCTAAAATTGTTGGTGAAGCTTGAATGCCGGGCTGGTTATGCGCAGGCGGTTGTTTGAAGAATACAGCAGGTTGGTTAGTAACCTGTTTCGGTGTGTTATGAAATTGATTATGCAACTTGTTTTGATGTGCAGCTTGGTATTTGGCGAATGGGTGAATTGGTGCAAGGTTGCGGTCTTGGCAAAAGCTTGGATAGAAGTTTGATGTAATGTTGGCATGGAGCTTGAGAAAACATGGTTTAGGGTAGGGGAAATTTGAAGATGAAGATGTGAATTAGCATTAGTTCTAGATTTTTAGGACTTTATTTTCTTGGATGGATTTAAACGTTTGAAGCATCCTGTTGAACCTTGAATAAAAACCAAAGATTACGTAGGCTTTTGTTGAATGCAACTTGTACTTAATGAACAAAAGTTTTTCCACATGGTTTTGAATGGATATTTTCCTTCCAATTTTCATATGAATTCCAAGTTTTCCTTAATCTTGCAATTGTACCTTGTATGAAATCCTTATGAACTTTGAATGTAAACTTTGAATTTTGCAACTTTCTCTAAAAAATCCTCATGAATAAATGCTTATAACCCTTGATAAATCTTGAACCAAATTGAATTGATATTTTTGGATCTCTCTTCAAATTGTCTTTAACTCAATGAGACTTCTAATTTCAAATGCTCCAAACACCATTAACTTTACTCACAAGTACTTGAAAGAAGGTTGGTGTTTCAAATTCACAACCTCATCTCTTGCATCATGCCTTGCATTCAATCCATCACAACAGTAATGCCCTAACTTCGAAGATAATACATGATCCTTGAAAATACACCTATGATGAACCTCACTTAACAAACTCAATTATGGTGAGATATAAACCGAATCCCCCTTGAGATGTACTTAATGAAGAAAATTATATTGAGATGTTAAGAGGACCAAAACATAATTCAAAACAAATCTCAAATGGAAATCTTGATGAAACCCTAAGAACTTGCCTTGGGACTTTTGAAAGAAACTTGGAGATGAAAACCTTGTAGCTTAATGAAAGAGAAAGTCTACATCCCAAATCCTAATTCCTCAAACCCTGGTAGATGAAGGAACTAGTTGATTAAGCTTGAACGATGTAAAAGTTTAGAAGTAATAGAGAAACTTTAATTCTCTAGGGAAATACAAAGAAATAAACTCTGATTCAACACCTTGATGAATTTTAGAGAAGAGAGGCCATGTATCTTGAAGAGAAGAAAATTCGGATAACCATGAATCAAAATACTAATTCCATACTTCACTGCTTAAAGAAGAACCAGAAGAATCAGACTTTATCTAATATGTACATCTCAACCACTGTGAAACCCTAGCTCACACAACCAATGAATTTTGAACCTCCGGTCCTTTATTGAATAAAAATGTATGTTATGTTAGTAACCTAATGGAATATATGCAGATGAATGCAAAAGCCTAAGCCAGATAAAATAAATTAGAAGGGAAATTTTTTGGGTGCAACAACCTTACATTCAATGGATTAAAGAAAGAAACAAAGATCGTCGTTGGCCTTTTGCCATAGAAAAGCCTTTGTACCCTCAAGAGCCAGATCAACCTGATGATGTACTAAATAGAGATTATGAGTTACTGCAAGCCCAGAATCAACGATTGCTTGAGGAACGTGAGACTATGGAGGTAAAGTGTCTTGTGGCTACACAAGAGAAGACTAAACTAGCCCACATACTCAAAAGATTTAAGGGAGAGATGCCAAGTGTTGCAAAAAAGAGATCAAGGTCTGAACACAATCATGTCTCTGTTGAAAATCACTGGAAAATTGTAGCTGAGATCGAAAAGAAATACAAACAGAAGTGTCGAGATTGTGAGATCCTTAAAGCATTCAAAGCTGACCTGGAGAAGAGGTACAAGACCAATATTGATGGGTTGGAGAAGCAACTTCTAGACAAAAGTGCCTAGTTTGAAGAAGAGATCACCCAGAGGCTTGCAGTAGAGATTCAACTCAAGGGGAGAAATATTTAACTAGAACAGACCATAGAAGAAATTACGAAGTTCAAAGTTCAAATGGGAGGACAAGGATTTGCAAGTTATCCATTGTCGGATGTTTAGATTTTGTATTTTTCTATTTTCAAAAGGTCATCATTAGGCTTGTTGATGGGATCTCTCATTTTCTATTGTAATTCTATTGGTACCGATCTTTGAACTATTTGTATTCCTTCTTGTTTGAGTTTAATGAGAATTTGGATTATTGGTGTTCACTATCTTGTCTATCGCTCTCGCTTAAGAACATGAATCAAAGCTATAGGATCCTAGAAATATTTAAACATGTCATTGCATGTATCACATGCACTCATGTATTCATAACATATCATGCATAACAAGTTACTCCAGCAGGTCTTCTTACTTCTGATTTGGTTTTTTCCCGAGATTTCTACTTTCAACTCTCACCAGTATAACACCATAAATAATTCAAAGAGACTGATGAAACAGATACATGCTGACATAGCTGCTATGGGTGTCAAGATGGACACTCGTGTTGAACAGTTGATGGAGATCATCCAGGCTATGGCTCTAAAACATGAAGAGTTAAGGGCTCTGATTATCAGATCTGCTGCAACTACAGATGAAGTGAATGGAACTCTGAATCCTCCTCTAGGAGATGCTGGAAATCTTGTAGGGGCTATTGTCAATAATCATGCTGCTAATCCGAGTGGTCAGAATCTGAATGGTAATGCTGGTGTTAATCTTGGGAATGGTTCTGCTGTTAACCTTGGTACTCTTGCTGGTAATAATCAAGGTATCCCTGTGATTTAAGTTGTGAGAAATATTCCTCCACCCACTCCTTCTCATCAGAATAATGAATAAACTTTTGTTCAGCCATAAATCGGAAGAGCTATTCTGATACATGTTCAGCAGCTTGAAGATGATAACCATGCTGACTGGTTTTCTAATCACGAAGAATCCACTGAAGCTTATAGGAAGTTGCGTATGCTCGAAGAGTGTATGAAGGCTTTTGAAAATCATGGAGCTATGGGTCTTGATATGTCTGATTTGGGATTAGTACCCATAATGAAGATTCCTCTGAAACTCAAAGTGTCGTATTTTATCAAGTACAAAGGCATTTCTCTTCCTAAGACGCGTGTTAAGTCTTACTATAGGAAAATTCCAGCATACTCTAGTGATGAGAAGCTACTCATGCTCTTTTTCCAAGACAGTCTGACCGGTGGTTCGTTGGATTGGTATATGCAAATAGAAAGCTCTTGTATTCGCACTTGGAGAGAGTTGGCTAAAGCTTTTGTTCTACATTATCAATATAACAATGACATGACACCTACCCGAACTCAGTTGCAGAATTTGTCGCAGGCGCAAAAAGAGTCATTTAAAGAGTATGCACAAAGGTGGCGTGAGATGGCGGTTCGAGTGCAGGCTCCTATGATGGAAAGAGAAAGATGGATGTGTTTACCAGCATGCTGCAGGGGCATTTTTATATTGCTTGTAGAACTTCTGACTCTTTTACTGAGATGGTGACTTATGGTGAAAAGATTGAATTTGGAATCAAGATATGGAAGATTCAGGATAATGATATGACTGGTAACAATGCTGGTAATGCTAAGAAATATTTTGGTGGTTATCAAAAGAAAAAGGAATAAGAAACCAATGTGTTATATTCCCGGAAAGGAAAAGGCATGGCTCATTGGGAGTTAGATCATCAGATTGCCGTTGTAACTATTCCAACTGCAGCACCTCAACAACAAGCCTATGAACCTCATCAGGGTAATCAGCAACAGAAGTTGAGACACCTCCGAGAAAGTTTGATCCACTTCTTATGTCTTATGTTGAATTGCTACCTCGTCTACTCCAGCTGAGGTTGGTCGAGTTACGCACCTTGAATACTAATCCTTAAAGAAGATCACCAAATTTTGATTCTAATGTCCGATGTGAATTCCACTCTAGAGAATAAGAGCATATCATTTAAAATTTCATTGCTTTTAAGCACAAGGTACAAGATTTACTTGATTCCCAAGCTATCAACTTTGGGCCAGTGCCGGCACCAAATATTCTCCAGCAACCTTTGCCACCTCATGGGGGTGCCACTGTCAATGCCATTATTGAAAATGAAGGTCTGAACTTGGTGATGGATGTGAACCTGTTAACAACGCCTTTATGTTTTTTGAAGGAACAACTATTGAAGAAAGGTGTGTTTTCGGGATGTGCTACCGATTATGAAGATTTCTTGATCCATCTAGAGGGTTGTGATTGCTTGAAAAGTGAAGTACAAAGGTTGATTACTGAAGGGTCTCTACAGTTTAACAGATTGGTTGTTGAAACCCAGGTCGAAGAGGATGAAGTGGATGTGATCACAATTCCATTTACACCCAAGAGGATTACTACTCCTGTAACAATATTGATTCCTGCTAAGCAGTCCCCATTGACAATCACTCTACCTGGTCCAGTTTCATATGCTAGTGATAAAGAAATTCCTTGGAATTATGGTGATAAGTTTTATTACCAAGGAAAGAAATATGTAATGGAGACATCCGAGGAAGATACATCTGAGGTTTATGACATTGTGGGTGAAAGCAGAATCACCAAAAGTGGTCAAATATTTTCTCCTCCTAATCCACCAGAAAGAAGCTTTGATGCATCGGCCAAGGTCAAAGGCAAGAAGATTGTGGTAAATGGTGAAGAACCTGCACAGAATCCTCATGTTCTAACTTTGAGTGTTGATATAGCCAAAGATGTGGCAGAATTGATGCGTTACATCAAGAAGAGTGATTATAAGATCATGAATCACTTGAGCCAAACTCCGACCAATATTTCCATTTTGGCTTTGCTTCGGGACTCCGAGTCTCACTGTAACGCATTGATGAAGTTGTTGGGTACCTCTTTTGTTCCGCAGGAAATTTTATTTGAATCAATTTGAAGGAATTATGGATAGAATTTTTGTAAGCAATGTCCTTGGGTTTACTGATTTAGATTTCCCCTTGAGAGGAGAAAGCATAATAAGGCGCTTCACATATCCATGGAGATTTCAGATACAACTTTGTCTCGTCTGCTGGTTGACACAGGTTCATCATTGAATGTTCTGCCGAAGTCCGCCTTGCTAAAGTTGAACTATGAAGGGATGGTGTTAAGACTCAGTGATTTAGTTATAAAAGAATTTGATGGGTCGAAAAGATCGGTATTTGGTGAAGTTGATCTTCTGATGAAGATAGGTCCTTGAATTTTCAATGCAACATTCTTTATCATGGATATAAATCCCTCTTACTGTTGTCTGGTAGGGTGCCCTTGGATTCATGGGGCAGGTGCAGTGACATCCACGTTGCACCAAAATTTGAAGTTCTTGGTTAGAGATAACGTTGTCACCGACTGTGGTAAAGAAGACTATGTGGTTAGCCACTTGAGCACCTTTCGATATTTGGAAATCAAAGGCGAAGTGCATGAGACTTCGTTTCAGGCTTTGGAAACTGTACAAGACGTCAAAACTCCTCGTCAAGAGGTCAGAAAGCCATATGTCTCCATGGCATCTTATAAGAAAGCTCAAGCGATTGTTGAATCAGGACACCCTAAAGGCTAGGGTAGAGTTTTGGATATTCCAATGAAGAAGGATAAGAGTGGTTTGGGTTTTATGGCTGATAGCACGAAAAGTTATAGCATTTTCCAACCGATTTACGTAGATAAAACTTCTGATTCTACATTTATCATATCACATTTTATCTATGTTTATGGTATTTGTAACATATTTCAGGTACTTAGCTTTTGCAACACATAAATGAGAAAAGAAAGAAAAACAATGGAAAATGAAGTTCAAATGGCCTTTTTGAAGCATTTCAGCACTTCCTGTACCAGAAGGCGCGTCGCCCGCCACAAGGATGTTACGATCGGGACATATTGAGTTTTATGCCCCTCAGTATGTTTCATGTTACGATCGGGATATATAAGAGTTATATGCCCCACGTCACATACGCATGCCGCTCGCCACGATCCATATAGCAGTTACGATTTTCTCTCTATTTGACGGACTCGGAGCGCATGTTCACGGATTCTTCTCCACTTTGAATTCCTATTTTTCCTTAAATAATGGACTCTATATTGAAGCAGTTACCAAAAATTCATGAACTCTCTCTCGCACCCTGAACAATTGTTACGCAGTTTTATTTTCAATATCATTTTTTTCTGCTCAGCATTATTTTTTTGTATTCTGTTTTGATATTTTCCAGTATAGATTTCTAGCATTATTTTCCAGATTTCATAGAACTACTTAGGCAATAAAAACCCCCACCATCAAAGCAGTATTTTTCCACATCGGAGAAATACTGCAACACTAGTTATGTTTCCAGACTTCTAGAATTTACTTAGGATTACTTTAATTTAATTTGAGATATTTTTGCTACAAGTCAATTCTATCGGCTTGTGGAGGATACACATTACTCGGAATTAATCGCTTTATTTTTCATTTTCAGGTTCCTATTTTTAATAAGTATAATTTATTTATTTCTTACCATGCATGCGTTGTTGAATTTACATTTTAATTTTATGCTGTTCTGCGATAAAATTATGTTTGGCTAGATTCCCTGATACCGGTATGTAAAACTTAACCGAAAGGATTCAGTAATTAACTATTATTTTTACAAAAACACTTTTCTGGTTTTAATTTCCAATTTGAATATTTAATTGTTTTTGTACGGAAGTAAGAGACATTCTAAGGTTAAAATCAACAGAGCGGAAGTTTGAGATTTTAACCAGATAGTGGTTATTAAAACATTAATTTTAAAAACAGCGGAAGCGCTTTAAATTTAATTGGACTTTATTTGTTTTCAAAAAAATACTTTTGAGTTTTAAATGAAACAGCGGAAGCGCTCATTTCGAGCTTAACTAATATGATCTGATTCAATAGAACGGAAGTTTGAGACGAGGGTCTTTAAACAAATAGTTTTCACTGAAACATTGTTTTAATACTAAAAACAAATGCCAATGACTTACTGAATCCCTTAAGTTGACGAAATACATATCGGTGTCCCATTATTAACTATTAGACTTTAGTTAATTCTTGATTTAACCCAAACACCCCGATTTTTATAATTAGCCTTAACTTTACATAGTGACCCTAAGATAACAGTAGTTTTGACCATCAGTCCTTGTGGATTCGATATCTTTTAAAACTACGTGATAGACTGTGCACTTGCAGTCACTACACCCGATAGACCTATTAAATTACGATCAAGTTTTTGGCGCCGTTGTCGGGGACTGAATTAATCAAATAATTTAAATCCCTTGTTATGCAGTATAGACTAAGGCAACCAATTTTATTTTAATTTTAACTGTCGATTGTATGCTAAGCACTCGCTCTAAAGACGAGAAATTAGAGCAACCAATCGATGAGGTCGAGCATTTTGTTAGTATAAGACTCTGAATTAGAGAGTACCAAGCCAAGTACAATCTTCCCGAAACCAATCTTCGTAACTTTTCTCTTCCTGGCCCAAAAATTGCCGAAGGACCCCAAAATCGCCCTCTGAAAGATTATGCTGCTCCATCGCAAGAGGAACCCCACAACAGTATTGTTGCTCCCACTACCGCACAAAATGATTTCGAGTTAAAGCCTTCGCTTTTGCAAGCTGTCCAACAAAACCAATTTTCAGAATATCCTACGGATGATCCAAATCTTCATCTATTTGTGTTTTTGCAGTACGCAGACACAGTGAAAGCAAACGGTGTCAGCCCTGAAGCAATAAGACTTCATCTTTTTCCTTTCTCATTAAGAGATAGAGCTAGAGCATGGATCTAGTCTCTACCATCCAACTATGTTACCACAT